CCAAATCAATGAACACTTCACTTTCTCTTCCATCCTACAACCCTTTTAATTGCTGCTTGATCTTAATGAAGTGTGGCTGATATTAATAAATGGAAACCCTCGCGGCCTTAATAGCCAATATCCAAACAACGCTCAACTGAGTTAGCATCAGAGGTGCTTTCATTATTCCAAACACCATCCTCTCCTCCTGTCCCTCTCCCTGAAGCCTCAAGACTGCAGACATCTGTTCTTCAATTGTCTGGTAATAAACATACTCCATAAAGCATATGTAAAATGATTATTACCCTGAAGAGCCAAGTGCCTTTCAAATGCCAGCTGAAACAAATAAACAACCACAAAAAAATCCCCACCAAACAAATGTTACAACAGACATCACTCAGGCTGTTCAATATTCCACAACATTAAAGGCTACAGAATTGGTCCCACACGTTTCCTTCCTCCAATAGGAGACGTCAGTCCACGGACCAGTAACACCAGTGGCTCCCACAATCCAAGCAGATGCTGGTGAGCAGCGAAGGATGAAGAAAGCAACTGGATTCTTTTGGTAACTTTTATACTTGGACTCTTGCAATATGTAATTAAAGCAAATCAGATGTGTATTCCTCTTCAATTTCTAAGTGCAATTAGTGTAACACGTAGTTAGTACAACCTATTCCCAAGAATCATCTCTGCCAGAATACCCACTTGTCTTCCCCAAAATGCACTGTTCATTTATCACGTGTGTAGTGGTGTCATTAAGTCCTGGTAATTAATCTGGGGTTTGGTGCATCTCAGTTGTCCTAGTGGAAATTAGGGACCTACATCCCAAATGGCCTAACACCCCACTTCCCAACTCTGCCTCGTTGCTCTAAATGAATTAAGAGGCAAGAAAGACTTTGCAAACCATTTGTGTGTGTTTGCCCTTTACATTCTCTACGGTCCTAAGTGAAGAGTTTCTCTAAATAAGGTTATTTAGTTGTCGTTACTGGAGATAAGGGGGTTAATTGACAGCCCCCTGAAAGCCTGCTGACTCTTCAAAAGGATCTGTATCTGAGCTTAAACTTGGTTTGTAAATAAAAGAGCATAAAAACAAAAAAAGGCTATCATAATCAGCCAACCTAACCCAGTCACTGTGCATCTCCCTGCTGAGACAGAGACACTTTTCCTATCGGTTGTACAAAAGAGACAAATTCAGACTGATAAATATGAAAGCCCTGGTTACAACTCTCCACCTAACATTACTGTGCTGAATTACATTCCAAAGCCATCACTTAATGCCTTAAATCATCCCACCAGTGCCTGGTTTCCCAGTGATCCAGTTAGCTTAATACTTTTCAAAGCATCCAGCTTCCTAACCAAATCAGCCAGCCCATCGCAGGCTAAAAAGTCTCTCCACATATTTGGGTGAATTTGATTTAAAGAAGAAAAAACCCACAAGCTTCTGAATAAAATATTGATCATTCTGAATTCAAAATAAATTCATTTATAGCCTGTGCAAGTGATACAGACGAAAGATGATTGAGGCAGGGAATTAAGAGCCTTGACAACAAATGGAAAATAAAGCCAGTGAAAACTTCACAGCCCTGCAGCAATTACCTCCTTGAGAGGTTGACACTTAATACAATAACATCCAGAAAAGGGCAACTGAGATATAATCAACAAGGAATCCACACCTAAGATAAGTGCCAGAAATTATTGCAAATGTCAATATTTTTGCAAATCCACCATATTCAACATTTTACAACACCAGGAGTCAGTGGGTAAAGCCAGTTTGCTGGTAGGACAGGTTGGGTGCTAACAAATCTTATCAAGAACTGAATTTCCTTTAGGAAATTCTTATCAGCAAATGAAAACCAGTCCTATGATCATCTCATGCTGCATCCCAGGCACCACACACATAGAATAATAAAATCATAGAATCATAAAATCATAGAATCCTAGAATGCCAGGTTGGAAGGGACCTCAAGGATCATCTGCTCCAACCTCTCTAGGTACTACTCTAGTTGATCTGAGGTGGCTCAGCACCCTGTCCAATGGTTTAAAACCATTTCCCCTTGTCCTGTCAGAATCCACCACTTCCCTTGGGAGACAATTCCAACAGTTGATTGTCCTCATGGGGAAAAATTAAACTCTTGTGTCCAATTGGAATCTCCCCATAGAATGGTTAAGGTTGGAAAGGACCTTAAAGATCATCCAGTTCCAAGCCCCCTGCATGGGCAGGGACACCTCCCAACAGACCAGGCTGCACAAGCCCCATCCAACCTGCCCTTCAACACCTCCAGGGATGGGGCAGCCACAACCTCTCTGGGCAACCTGTTCCAGTGCCTTCCTACCATCATGGTGAAGAATTTCTTCCTGATGTCTGACCTGAATCTCCCCTCTTTCAGTTTAAAACCATTACCCCTTGTCCTGTCAGTGCCCTCTCTGGTGAAAAGCCCCTCTCCAGCTTTCCTGGAGCCCCTTCAGGCACTGGAAGGTGCTCTAAGGTCTCCCTGGAGCCTTCTCTTCTCCAGGCTGAACACCCCAACTCTCTCAGTCTGACTTCATAGCAAAGGAGCTCCAGCCCTTGGATCATCTTGGTGACATGAATTCAAACTAAGCAAGGACTCACACATCTCCTCATTAAAGTAGGTAAAAAAATCACATTTAAAAAGTTTCTACAGTTTTCACCTACACCCAAATTCACCCCATTCTGCAGCTAGAAAAGGGCAAGCTGGGTCATGCTGTGTCTTCCATCTTTTCCTGCAGTTATTGATGAATGCAAAGAAGTTAAGATGCTGCAGATGGTTGGCATGAAATAATACATTGTACACAGATACCTTAATCTTGATGCAATTATTTTTTATGAGGCAAGTTATTTCTACTGCCTATCTTGCAAGCTGGTAATGAAAGTGAAGTGTTTGTGAGAAGTGCTCTTTAAAGCAGAGGGCTCATGTTTGACTCAGATGGCAAAAAAAAGGGGGGAAAATTAAGCAGGAAGGCAAATAGAAATGAACAAAAGTATTTTGCCCCAGTTTCTAAATTGATGAAGAGACTAAAGTTCATATCATACTGGTAGCCCAAGATATGGACACAGGCTGGGGGAGGTGACAGTGGAGAGCAGCCCTGTGGAAAAGGACCTGAGGGTTCTAGTGGATCAAAAGCTGGACATGAGTCACCAAAGTGCAGCTGCAGCTCAGAAGGCCAACTCCATCCTGGGCTGGATCAAAAGAAGTGTGGCCAGCAGATGGAGAGAGGTGATTCTGCCCCTCTGCTCTGCCCTGGTGAGACCTCACCTAGAACACTGTGTCCAGCTCTGGTGGCCCCAGCACAAGAAAGATGTGGAGCTGTTGGAACGTGTCCAGAGAAGGGGCACAGAAATGATCTGAGGGCTAGAGCAGCTCTGAGATGAGGACAGGCTGGGAGAGTTGGGGCTGTTCAGCCTGGAGAAGAGAAGGGTCCAAGGGGACCTCACACTGGCCTTCGAGTACCTGAAGGGGCTACAAGAAAGCTGGGGAGGGGCTTTTTACAGGGCCTTGCAGTGAGAGGACAAGGGGGAATAGTTTTAAGCTGAAAGAAGAGAGATTTAGGTTAGAGATCAGGCATAAATTCTTCAGTGTGAGGGTGGTGAGACACTAGAACAGGCTGCCTGGGGATGTTGTGGGGGCTCCATCCCTGAAGTGTTGAAGGGCAGGTTGGATGGGGCTTGGAGCAGCCTGGAATGGTGGGAGGTGTCCCTGCCCATGCAGGGGGGTTGGGACTGGATGATCTTCAAAGTTCCCTCCATCTCAAAAAATTATGTGATTCTAATACTGGTTGTATCTTGAACAGCACATGGCTTCTTAACCATTGTCCATCTTTTCTTACAATCAAATGGCTGAAAATGATACATTATGCTCTAGCAAATTTGTTTTTAGAACATTTCTTCCAGTGTAAGAGAGAGAGAGGTTGAAAAAATGTGGTTGTGAAGTTATCTATTTCATTATGGGCATCTAGCAATAAGTGAAGAGTGTACAATGTATGCAACCCTTTTTTTCAAGGAAAGAGCTGCAAAACCATAACAAATTTCAATATGGCCTCACAACAGGTGCTGTTCTCAAGATGATGTCAATATCTAGTGTCACACCATAAGAAATACAAATTTTGGAGGAATTTATGCCCTCTCCCTTTGCATTTTTAAGTCCTGAGAAGTCACAAATTGCCACAGTTCTCAGGTACTGAGAATACTTCTCCAGCAGTTAGAATATTCCTTCCTCTGGGGATCAGATTCCAATTACCTGTTATTAGTATTTTATTATTGCTTGTTTTTAGTGCCAAAGAAACATGCCCTGTTGCCTAAGTGACCCATGAGAGTGAGTAACACCAAAGCCAAGGAGGGAAATGCTCTCTAGAGGTGCCAGCACTGAATAGGAAAGGACAAGTCTGACAATAAAAGAAAACCCTGCAAGGAAAAAGCAGGGCTGGAAGATTGATATAAACCAGGAAAACCAGCATATTATTTAACTCTGGCACAACTAAGAAGATGAACTATTAGACTGCAAAGCAAAAAGAACAAAATTAAAGTATCAGGAGGTGAGTGACTTGGGGAGAAGAGGCTTATTACAGACTTGTTCTGTTTTCAAGTTCCAGCAGTCCTTGATGAACCATGAACTTCTAAGATCTCAGTAATTGGCACTTTAGATCAGGCATTTAATTTGCAGTCCACAGACTGGGTTTATCAAAGAATGAACTTACCTTGCAGTTCAACTAAACTTTTCCCAACTTGGGTCAATAATAAATTACACCGTTCAATGAGGAGGGGTCACCCAGGCAAGCAAATCCCATTTGGAATGCTAGTTAATTTGGAAAAAGATTAAAGAGCACCAGCAACAAGCTCAACTCCTGGTTACTTTTCACACAGATGCACATCAACAACTTCACAGCAAACCCAGTGCTGTGGGATGTCATCTCAGAACTGACAATGTGCCCATCAAGGAAGTGGATTAATTCTACTCGTTTTGATTCTTTGCACCTTCAGAAATACGTGGAAAAGTCATCCTTACCTGAGGAGGGGATGAAAGATGATGGTAATGTTCCTGGCTCCTGGTTTGCAGACAAATTTTGATCCACCACCTTCAATTAAGTTATCATCTGGTCCTCCTGGAAAATAACAGCAAAACAAGTTGTCGAACAGATCTGAACATCCCTTGATTTTTAACTAGTGACAATTAGATGTTTAGGTCTGTCTGTAAATGCTGGATTCCTGGTGAAAGATCAGTAATTAGTGTGAAGATCTGCTCTTTCCAGCCTCTTTCAGCTCAGAGAAAGTACAATAGGAACAAGACAGACAGCATTTACATGCAACTGTGGGCTCTTATCTCCACAGTTAAGAACAGTTATGCAGAACAACTGGTCAATGCACACCTCCTCTGGGGACAAAAACAACAGAACCCATCCCAAAAAACAACCACCCAAAAAATCCCCAGTAAAAAACACTCAAAAAACCCTCAACAAAACCCACAACCACACACTCCAGAAAACCAACAACACACAATGCACAAAAAACCCACCATGCCCAATACAGCGTGTCCTGAAGTGCCACATCTACACGTTTCTTGAACACCTCCAGGGATGGTGACTCCACCACCTGCCTGGGCAGCCTGTGCCAGAGCCTGACCACTGTTTCAGCAAAGAAATTCTTCTTAATATCTAATCTAAATCTTCCCTCAAACAGTTTCAGGCCATTTCATCTGGTCCTGTTGTTATTCACCTTAAAGAAGAGACCAAGACCCATCTCTCTAAAACCTCCTTTCAGGTAGTTTTGGAGAGCAATGACATCTCCCTTCAGCTTCCTCTTCCCCTCTTTCTCTCCCAGTTCCTTCAGCCTCTTCCCCATGGAACTTCTTCTCTAGACTTTTCACCAGCTTGGTAGCTCTCCCCTGGACACACTCCAGCCCCTCTCAGTGTCTCTCTTGTAGTGAGGGGGGCTCAGAACTGAACACAGGTGAAGAACTGAACAAGGTGAAGCCTCACCTGTGGTGAGTACAGGGGCACAATCACTTCCCTACTCCAGCTGGTCAAACTATTCCTGGGGCAGGCCAGGATGCTGTTGGCCTTCTTGGCCACTTGGGCACATTGTTAGCTCATGTTAATCCAGCTGTCAACCAGCACCCCCAGGTCCATTTCTTCTGGGCAGCCTTCCAGACACTCTGCCCCAAGCCTGGAGAGCTTCCTGAGGCTGTGACCAAAATCCAGGACCCAGGCTGAAGTCCATTGTTCTGGAGGTGGTAACGTGATACCCATCACACACACAAGAGATGCCCAGATACCATCAAGAGACTTGAGCCTCGTGGTTCTTCAAATCATCACCCCACTGTGAGATGGGAATCTCTAGCCTGAAGCTTCAGTGATCTTTGCAGCTATTGGAATGGTCCAAAAACCAAACACACATCACACACTTCAACTTTCTCAAGAGCACAAGGGCCTTCACCTTGTGTACTGAACACCCAAGCTCCTGTCCATGTGGCCAAGATGTACTTTGAAGCCTGCAATGCTTGGTAAGTTTTTCAAGAGGAGCACTTCACTTGGTTTTGCTGCTTCCACATTGCAGTATGGAAGGCTGCTGCACCTCTGACTGAGGATGCCCCCATTCCATCCCTTGGAAGGTAGCTTGGGTTTGATTGTCAGTGACATGACATTTTAACTCATTTACACTTAACACCACTAGATCTCTCAGGAGTCCACATCCTACACCAACTCTTGTCCTTTGACAGCAGGTGTCTCATTTGCTCAACTTTCAGTTGTGTACAAACAGGTTCTCAGAGATGGGAAAAAGAAACTTGTTCAGTAACTTCTTTCCTGTGAGGGCAACAGAGCCCTGGGACAGGCTGCCCAGGGAGGCTGTGGAGTCTCCATCCCTGGAGACATTCCAAAGCCATCTGGACACATTCCTGTGGGATCTGCTCTAGGGGATCCTGCTCTAGCAGGGGGGTTGGACTAGATCATCTTCAGAAGTCCCTTCCAACCCTGACCACTCTGAGTTATTCATTGGTTGCAAAACACAAGCTCAGAGAACATCATTGATAGACCTCAGGCCCAGACTGCAGGACTTCAAGGGGCATGAAAGACTCACCTACATGTCATTACTTTCAAACCAGTGCCACTGCTAAAACCCTCAAATAACCACAATATGAACTTGGACAAAGTCTGTAAATCCCAAGTATTATCAAGTCCTTTTCAATTTGCACGTGAACTCTCCTTAATGATTGAATAATAATAAATGCAGAACCTAATCACATTATGACAAAGGCTTTATAGGCAGGAAAATTACAAAGCACTTGAAATCAAAACAACAGCAGCAGCTTATTGAATTTTTTGACCCTGACATCTGACTGCTTCAGAAAGAGGAAAAAAAAGTCTCCAAATTGGAAAGTGCAAGTGGAGGAACACAAGCAGTGGGTGACTCAAATCTTCTTTTCCAAGTGAAGTTTATGATCTTTAGGCCATTCTCTGCAACCAATCCACACAATCAAAAAAAAAATAAATCTCTTTGATGATGACTTAATTGACCCTCCTATCAGCAGCCTCAAGGACCAAGCAGGCCACAGACACCAGCTCTTTCATACCTTAAAGGGTCCCTCCAGGTCAGCAGTATTCTGGACAAGACTTCCCAGCACTGGTATAGATTCAAAGGTGCTGAGTGCCACAGTAAAAGGGATAATATTCATTTTAAAATGTAATAGTAATTTAAAATAAATTCCCTGTGGACTGGAATATCCATGCATCCATCCTCTGGACTTCTGCAGTTGCAGGATTTTCACGAGTGGACTAAGATCCCCAAATGCACTTTTAGGACATGAAGCTTCTTGCTAAATTCTACACTAACATAAGGACTCACAAAGCAGAGAGAAGCAGCTGAGATCAGAGTTTATTAAACTTCCCTGACTGTAATTAGAAAGAGGTAGTTGTTTAAAAAACAGTCCAGGAATTCAATTTTGCAGTTTAAAAAGGTAACAGTTTAATGGTGGAAAAAAAGAGGTGGAACTTCCAGGAAAAGAAAATTACTCCTTCCCCCTATTAATGTCAGACCTGCAATTTCCAGGGGGGTCTGTGTCTTAACTGACTTATTGAAGAATTCACCCAAGCATGAACTACTGAGGCATGAACTAGGAAATACAGGCTCAAATTAAGAAAGGGGTGTGATTCTTGTTATATCAAATGACATCAAGTCACCCTGCACCAATCAATATTATTGACTGGGATGAAACTCCATAGCAAGGAATAAAATGTCTTATCTGCTGGGCCATATTAGGTGAGATTTGAGAAGAACAGAACACCAGCAGAGAGAGAAAAATATGGTTTTAGGTCTTCTGGCTCTTAGCTTCCAATTGCTAGTAATGAATGCTCTGCATGTGGCTGCAAGCTATGGGAAAAAGGAATTGTTTGTATTTAAATATTTTACCTTGAAAAATGCACCAAGATGGAAATCTTATTCCTGATGAGGCCTCACACCTAACAATGATGACCCAGCATTGCAACAGCTCTTGCTAATGCTCACAGCCTGACCTACACCTCTTGCCTTTGCCTCTCTTAGAATCATCCTGGTTGGAAGGGACTTTGAAGATCATCAAGTCCTGCCATTGTAGCTCCAGGGACCCTGATTTAAGTCACCACAGCCCAACCCCAGCACAGCTCCAGTCCTGCAAGGCCACAATTCAGAAAAGCCAACACTGCCATTGACCAGAAATCACACTGCAGCAGTTTGGTTACAGTAGATGGTGAAGAAAAGCCCAAACTGTGGCAAGGAGGGAGCTTATGATGCCTTTGCCTGGATATTCCATTGGAAATTTCTGGTGGGGACTAGATCTACTAGATTCAGACCTGAGTACATCAAGGTCTGAAGCCTTGAGTACTGTGTTCAGTTCTGGGCCCCTCATGACAAGAAGGACTTTGAGGGGCTGGACTGTGTCCACAGAAGGACAACAAATCTGGTGAAGGTTCTAGAGAACAGGTCTTAGGAGGAGAGGCAGAGGGAACTGGGATTGTTTAGTCTGCAGAAAAGGAGGCTGAGGGGAGACTTCATTGTCCTCCACAACTACCTGAAAGACGGTTTCAGGGAGGTGGGTGTTGGGCTCTTATCCCAAGTGAATAATGACAGGACCAGATGAAATGGCCTCAAGTTGGGCCAGGAGAAGTTTAGACTGAATACTAGGAAGAATTTCTATACTGAAAGCGTTGTCAGGCTCTGGCACAGGCTGCCCAGGGAGGTGGTGGAGTCACCATCCCTGGAGGTATTAAAAAAAGCATGTAGATGTGGCACTTCAGGACATGTTCTATTGGGCATATGGTGGTTTTCTTCTGGGTTGACTTTATGACCTTAGAGGTCTTCTCCAACTGTGACTATTCTGTGATTCTGTTTTCATTGCAGTGAAGGTGCAGCAGGTGCCACCAGGCATCTTCATAGCAGTGCACCAGAAATATCCCTTCATCCTTACTGATTCAAGGACAAAAGGAAATGGCTTCAAGTTGCACCAGGGGAGGTTGAGATTGGATACTGGGAAAAATTTCTTCACCAAAAGGGTTGTCTGGCACTGACTGGCACAGGCTGCCCAGGGCAGTGATGGAGTCCCCATCCCTGGAGGGATTTCAAAGCCATGTAGATGTGATGCAGAGGGACATGATTTTGTGGTGGTCTTGGCAGTGCTGGGGTAATGGTTGGACTTGATGATCTGAAAGGTCTTTTCCAATGAAAATGATTCAGTGACACTTGACAAAAGCATCTCTTGCAGGGAGGTGAATGATCATTCAATGAAGAAACCGATACCAGAAAGCTCCATGGAAAACAGATAAGGGAAGAGTGGAAAAATTCCTTTTTGTTTTATGTGTTTGTTCTTTTTTCTCCTGATCAAAATGATTATCAGAGAGTCAGTCTGCAAAGTCTCTCAAACAAGAGCTAACCATGCAAATCCTGCTGGGCTGTCCTGAACGGATGCCTCATACACATGAGCAGACTCCAAGAGAAGAAAACCATTCCCTACCTCACTAGGGAAAAGGAGCAGTAAAGCCTAATTCCCAGTGAGCACTGCACATTTTCAGCTGTATGGAAGTGCTCAACTTCCTTGCTGTGACAGCTCAGTATAAACACTGACTACAGGCCTAAC